TGGTAGACAAAAATAAATATACTGTTTAAAACAGAGTGTCTACTCAAATATGAATAACCACTAAAATAATGTTTAAAGTGATAAAAAACTGTTGGATTAACCTTTAGCACACTGCATTATTAATATTACTTCCCTTTCCACTGCATTCTTTTTCAAGGCCTCTCAATTGCAGTACCCTTATTGTTAAATTCACTTTAAGTTGTTTTCTGCTGCCATAGAAGGATATGACAACACCACTATGAAATTCAAATACACTATTGTTCAGGGATCAGAGTCACTTTCAGTGGCAGGATAAACTTTTTGTACAGCAAATGAAGTCACATACAGTATCAAAGGTTAATAAATAAAAAATCCATTACTACTTTAGAAATTGCACTAAAGAATGTAAAGAAGTAGACTCCTACACAGAGGTGAGTAATCTGGCCATCTCTATATAAACTATTTTGGTGATATAGCAGAAATAGAATTTTAATATTCAGTACAAGCTAGAAAATGTAGAGGAGCAAAGTTTTTGATATTTTATAAGTACAATGCAATTGGAAAATTACTTAAATATTGCTAGCATTTTTTGATGGTATAGGTAACTAAAATCCATTGTTAATTTAAATAACCACATACCATATATACTCAAGTATAGTGCAAGTTTTTAGGATTATTTTTTATACAAAAAAAAAAAAAAAATAAAATAAAATAAAATAAAATAAAAAGTCACACTATACACAGGTAATTTTTTTGAAGAGGTTAAAAATCATACATTTTTGGTGACCAGTTACACTATACACAGGTAATTTTTTTTCTGGAGGGGTTAAAATTCAAGGAAAAAAAATTCAGAGGTCACACTATACATGAAGTTGGCTTATACATGAGTATATACAGTACTCAGGCAATCTGATGGCTTTTCATTGCTCCATAGTGAAAATGCAATGTGGAATCTATCAGAGTTCATTACAAAAAATAAAAACCTTTTTGGAAATGGTATTATTATAAATAAGACTCATTTTCCCTTTGTTAATTTATATACAAGTGAAAAATGACACTGGAAAAAATTCTTAGTTCTTGCCGAAGTGTTTCATCTTTCGACTTTATCAAGGCAAGCAATGAAAGCTAAATGTTTTGTAGCCATAGTTACATCAAATCCAAAATTTAAAAAACAAGATGCTCCTACATAAGCCTCTTTCTGGATATTGGTAACTTTTCTGGGAAATTTAACTATAGTGTCCATATGGAAAACAAAAATCTCTTAGTCAAAAGGAAGTTAACATTATCTAGAAAGAGGATTATGTTTTCATTGCTTGCCTTGATAAAGTTGGAAAATAAAATGTGTCAGCAAGAACTAAGAATTCTTTCCTATTGTTATTTTGAAACCAATTTGTCTTATCTTCAGAATTATTCTGGGAAATTTAACTATACAAAATAAAGAAATCAATCTTTTCTTTCATTAAAAAATGATACAAAATATAGTATAAAATGGCTTACATGACCTTTATATAAATTTCTGTAATTGATACTAAAATATATAATACAAGCTAGTTATAATTTTTATTTTTAGAAATTTAGCAGATGACATCTTTGGTGTTTACAATTATTACTGCTCTAAAAGCTTGCAATATCTTGAATAAGTATTTACGAAAAAAAAATATCAAGCTACACTTAAGTTTATCTGGCAGTTGATAAAGAGACTGGAGACCTTTTAATGCTTTAGCATTTACAAAAAAAAAAAAAAAAAACAATTCATTCAGACAGTTTTTATTTTTTTAAAAAGGCTCACAACCTAATCATTTCAGTATTTTTGATGAATCCATTTAAAAGTTGTATAACATTTGGACACTCATAGTTTGAAAATGTGAATTTCAATTTGTTATTAAAACAGTTATTCAAACACTTTCTCCATCATAACATCATTATCATAATATAATTCTGTTTGTTCCTACATTAATTAATAAGTTAGTGCATGCATTACTTTCTACCCATCACCTCAGATAAATAATGGACCATTCCATTTTGATTGCAAGGAATGACAGAAGAAGAAAGAGATATCAAAGAAGAATCCTGTATTTATTGTCTGCTTCAGTGAAATGGAAAACATTGTCAATTTTGAGTCTTTTCATTTGTACTCTCTTACTTCTTTAAATATTTTGTTAAAATTGTTAAGCTCAAATATTTAATGGAGCAATAGGGGAACTTCCATGGGTATTTGATAGTCTTTGAATTTGGAAGGAGCTTATCCAATCATTAAATTAAGAATTATGATTCATCAGAAAATTCAAATAGGAAAACCATGAAATTTTCACAAATACTGCTAGTTACCATAATTTCTTTTAACATCAGTGGTAAAGAATTAAGGAAATTTCCATAACACTATCAAAATTAAAAGATGCCATTGCAAACAAAGTACAATATCTTTCATTTTATTGGATAAAGTTGTCAACCATCATTATTTTTTCTTTTTCATCTTAATAATTTCAGCTGCTTTACCTTGCAACTACTCAGACTCATTCTATGGCCATTAATAAACAGTGCTAGTCAAAAGAAAAAAATAAGTTTACAAAGTCTGAAATTTTGTTTCAAGATTATTTTACCATGTTAGCTATTTTAGTTGAAAACTAAAGCAAGCTTAACACTTGGTTTGCTTTGTTCTATGGTATATCAATCTCAATGGGTTATTTAATGCCAACAATTTTTATTGCTGGTAATATTTTTTCTTCAGTAGATTCTGCTCAGAATAACTTTTACAATATCTTTTTATTCTTATATTAAAAGTAAATGACACTTCTTTGGAAGAGAATATCAGAAAATTCCTGTTACAATAAAAGATGGTGTATATATATATATGAGAGAGAGAGAGAGAGAGCGAGGGAGGGAGGGACAGACAGACACACACAGTGCAGAACCAAATTTCTTACACTCATATTTACAAAGCCTTACTAGCTGAACAATCTCATTAGGCCAACACCCCCCCCCAAAAAAAAGCTGTAACTATCCCACACCAGGTCCAAAAGAAGATTTTCAACTCCAGGAAAGGAACATGGCAGAGGTGAGGTGGGAGGAGGATAACCAAAACTTTGGTTGCAGATCTGACACCACAGTTCCATGACTGTATCTAAATGAATTACTGAACCACTGAAGGTTGATCACATGACAACTGACTGAAACTGACTGACAGCTATTAAAAACTCAGTGTTGCTTAATGAGTAAGGGTTAATATGAAAAATTGTAATCATAATCAAAATAAACATGGTTTTTGCTATTATAAAAAGGCTTCTGCCTGGGTTTCTGGGATGAGGAGTTATCATTATTTACACTATTTACATTCTGACTATTGTCCTTACCTTTGTCGTTATCACAACATTTTGGCTGTTGTGCCCTCCAGCCTTCATCAGGTATATATCGATCTAGGTAACCTACAGAGAATTCTGAACTGAACCCTTTTAATATATGAGAGTAGATTGTTCTTATTCCACTGCCCATGTCTAGGGATATCTCGTCCAGTTCTTATTAGTTCTACAGGAACTATTATTATTTATTTCTATGGGACAATAACCTAGTTGATTAAAGTGTTGGTTCATGAAGTTACTGACATAGTAATTGTGAATTCAATCCATTGACCAGGCAATACGTACTTGAACTCAGTGGTTAACTGAACAGAAAAGAGTTCAGAATTTCCTGTAGGTTACCTAGATCAATTTACATTTGATGAAGGCCATAGGACAACTGCCAAAACATTGTGTAACAACAACAAAGATGAGGACAATAGTCCAAATGTAAATAGTGTAAATAATTATAAAAGGTATTTTTCCTTCTCTGCAATCATTTTCATTGGACATGTCAGCTTTGCCAAAAGACCTCCAGACATCTGAACTATGCAACATGAATGGAGAGTCTGACTGGATTACTGAAGAAATTCTAAACTGCAAAACAGGTTTCTGTCATTACTAACAGATTTAATGGACAGTACTAAACAAAATGGTATTTCTAGTGTACTAAGAGAAGAGCTGTAAGCTAACAACTGCTATATTTGGCCAACATCCTCCTATATACAATAAATACTTCATGATGAAGCAATCCTATTCTCATTTTACTACTTAAGTACAGACACACTTGGTTCAATTGTTTTTAACAAACTTTCTTTTAAATCATTGTAATCCAGTATCTAGGAACTGGACTACAATTAGCAGGCCATATGCCATTTTCAGGATTATATGGAAGAAAAAAAATAAACCCTTGCCTTTGAGAATAAAATCTCTGGCCTCTACATCAACTACTACAGCATTTGTATGAATCTTAAGTACTCTCTTGTAATTTAGTACTGTTTAAAATAAGTACTGAACCATTGATTGCCAGAATAATGATGTACCTGTAATTTGTTATATATAACAGCAAATTGTGGACATGCTATGCACATCAGATTTCTCCATATTCAAGAGAACTACATTTTTATCAGTGCACTCTCCTAGAAGCAATTGCACTTGGTTTTTAAGGTAATATGCATGAATAGTGAAGAAGTGCTTATGTCAAGATGAAGTTAGGTTCTGAATTTTAAAGCCTTTCAGGTTCGTATGAAAGAAGCAGGAATCACTGGGGGAAAAAAAACTGATGCAAATAGAAATACTGAAATATCAAGCAGACTAAAACAGAAATGAAAACTGAAACAGAGATTTTAGACAACCAGTAAATTACAAGCTTCACAGAATTTTTAAATGGGAGAAAGAAAGAAATCATTTGGTTTTAAATACCAAGAAGGTTATATAGATAGCAAGAGAGACACCTGAAGAAGGCTGGAGGGTACAATGGCTGAAACATTGTGACTATAACAACCAAGATGAGTATGTTTGTCTGAACAGAAAAGCATATGATAATAACGATGATGAGGATTCCTCATCTAAAAATTATAACAAATAAATAAATAAAAGGAAAAAAAAAAAAAGAAAAAAAGCCTGTTGGGCTTGAAATTTTTCATTTGAACTCCTGACAGATCTGGGATTGAACAGCACCAAGATCACAGGACCATGTGGATAGATAGAAATAAAATGTGATTGTTACAAAAAGATAGATGCAATCTGATGGCGATGAAGGGATAGATAAGTAGTTTTGTGACCATGGTTACTAATGATGAGTCCTATAACCATAGCATCATAAGGACAGCACATGTCCTGCAGATGTAACAGCAGTGGGTGTGTCATAGTTACCAACAAGTAAGTGTTTGTTGTTGGAAAAATATGAATAAAATTAAATCCTTGCTTCAATACGGCAGTATAAAGACTTCTTATTCTTCTACTAAGAAAGCTTAATTTTCAACTAATTGATCATAGAACAGGTTAAAATATAGGTTAAAAACTACTTAGAACTGTTAAAAAGTCTTAAGACAGTTTGTTACATGAAACTTAGTTGTAATTTTATGCTTTTTACTTGTGTTAATTTTTATTACAGTCAAGAATTTGCTCCCAATATGAAAATGGTACAAGAGACACCCTGATTGTATGTATGTGTGTGTATAATAGTATCCAAAACAGGAGCGAATATGAAAGTGGAAATTTTTTTTTTTTTTTTTCATCAAAGATATGTTTCACTGGAGAAAGCTTCTGCTCTTTGGCATCATCAGTTTGACTAAAAGAAAGAAAACTATGTGTGAGGAAAATAATCTGGGAATTTCTGAGGATAAGTGGACATCATAAATCAAATTAATTACCCTAGCTTATCACTTTCTGACTCAAAACTTGAAGAGAATCTGTCTGCTTCTCTGCTTGTTTGTTTTAACTATATTAGAGCCATTTGCTATTGTAGGGTTTTAATCAGGGACATTTATATATATATATATATATATATATATATATATAAATTAGGTACCTCCATGAAATCGCTAAAAAAAGAGCATAGCTTGATGAAAAAATGCCAACCTTGCCGAAAACAAAATTTTATCATCTAAATGCTTGTGTTATTAAGAGGAAAGACCAAAGTCTTTAATTATTTTTTAAAATTTTTCCTTTTTTTTCTTTTTTTTTTCGAACATTTTAAATTTTGATTAAAAAAAACCTTGTTTCTCTTTGTATCACTGGAACTAGTAAAATAACAGACAATTTTTAGCACATTTTTTTGGTATGACACACATTAATTTGGAAAAATCTTGCAAAAATAAAAATATTTGTCGGATGTTAATGAAACTTTCAGGAACTATTATTATTATAAATATGTTTTTTTTTTTTTTTTTCTTTTTTTTTTTATAAAATTCATAGTAGAAATATTTTTTTTAATAGTTATTACTCCCCCCATAACTAATTTTATGAACATGATAGAAATTCAATCGCATCAGGTTTAGTGATTACAATAGTTAAAAGCACAATGCTTTGAGGAATGCAAATCATGTTTTTTTTGTTTTTAATTGGACCACCTCTACCTGAAAATCAGCTCTGAATCGTAACATACAAAACTCAATAAAACAAAGATATTATTTAATTTCAAATGCTTTTATTTGCTTTTAGTTGTTTTTATGAATATGGATAATATTTTCTGAAAGCAAAAAATTTTTTTTTGATGAAAAATGAATTTTTAATACAATTATTTGTTATTTTTTAATTATAATAGATTTTTACATTTAATTTTTTAAAATATTATAAAATTAGTTAAAAGCCGCATCAGGTTTCCTAAGTCTCCTTATGAGATAGCACGTTGTAAATTGTATCATTTTCACTAATCAGAAGATCCGCAGTAATTAAGAAATGTAATTTTGAGTTTATAATCGGGCTGTGATTATAAAGTACGGAAGACCAACCAGAATACAATTAAGTTGCGTTATTTGAGTTAAGCATTGTTCTCCGCTGTTAAGGCCTTTACTTTTGAGAAACACATGTGGAGAAGTTAATTTGATTTTTCAATTTCAACTGAGAAAGGTAGCTACAAGTATCAGTATCATCTTATGAAATTTATATGATCTTATTTTTATATTAACTCAGTTATGACATTTTTCCATAAATGAAATATCAAAATTAAAAATAAAATGAATGGAAATACAAATAACACAGTAAAATGTAATAAATGTACATAAAATTATAGTATTTTATGTACACTTCTGATAAAATTTCATAAGAAAGGCACCTATAAATTAATTTCTTATGAAATTTAATCTTACTCTTAACAGTCTTATTTTAATTTCTGTAGAATATATTTTCCATAAAGCATCGTAAACATAAAGGTGAAAGCTAATTACAAAAAAAAAAAAAAAAAAAAACAATTAGAGCTCTGAAAGTTTCCCTTAAAAATAACGAGGTAAATAATTTGTTCACTTAAATGTAAATTATTTCACTTTTCTCCTTCCGTAGAACAAATTATCCTCACGGAATCCGTCATTATGTCATACATCACCTGTCAAGTGATGCAAAAGTTTATGACCTGCTTTGTTTTATTTTCAAATTACATCTTTTCAGCGCAGAAGCTAAGTTAAGCTTGGTTCAAAATATTTTAAATCAACATTATAATTTCCGATTTTCTTAAAAAGTTTTGAAAAAAATGATAATTGATATTTAAAAGAATTTCAAAGTGAGATTTCCAGTTTTTTTTTATAAAATGGAAAAAAATGGTCAATTTTGCTGACTTAAAAAAAAAAAAAAAAAAAAAAAAAAAAGAGGTTTTAATAAAATTTCAAACATGCTAGGAATGATTAAAAAAAATGTAAAAAAAAATACCCCCAAAATACTTTGATCTTTCCTCTTAATAATAACAAACATTTAGACGATAAAATTTTGTTTTCGGCAAGTTTGGCGTCTTTTTCATCATGCTATGCTCTTTTTTTAGCGATCTTGTGGAGGTACCTATATAAATGGTTACAATTTGTAAGCATAAGAATAAATCTGAATCATTTTGGGAAAGTGTTTTATGATCAGATGAAGCAAATTTAAACTATTTGGGTGTAATTCAAGGATTCACGTTTGGAGAAAAGACGTTACAGCCTTTGCAACAAAGAATACAATCCCAAGAGTGAAATTTGGTGGTGACAATATCATGGTTTAGGGATGATTTTCTGCTAATGGTATAGGTAATTTAGAGATAATAGATGGTAGAATGAATTCAAAAAAATACCAATATGTTCTGGACTCTAATTTGTTTGGGTCAGTAGTAAAGTTTAACTCCCAAATGAGTGGGTTTTGCAACAAGATAATGACCCTAAACATACAGCTAATCTATGAAAAAAATGGCTTATTGTAAACAATGTTAATACACTCGAATGGCCATCACAGTCTCCAGACTTGAATCCAATAGAGAATTTGTGGCGTTTATTAAAAATTCAAGTTAATAAAATAGCTATGAAAAACATCCTGGACCTAAAGAGAATATGCAAAGAAGAATGGAGTAAAATACCGCTGAAATCTTACAAATCATTGATTAAAAGTTACAGAAAGAAACTGATTGCTGCTGAATTAAGTAAGGGATATGCTACAAAATATTAAATAGGTATTCTAATGTTGTACGAATACTTTTTTGCCTCTAATTTTTTTAATTTCATATAATTTCATTAATATATCAAATTTTTCTTGTATATTGCAGCATTATGCCATGGTATACAAATATTGTATGGATTATAAAATATTTTTATAAAATTTGTTAAAAAAAATCTTCCTGCCTACTATATATATATATATATATATATACATACACACAAAGAAAATTAATGACAAAGTGGAAAAGATTTTTGTGTGATATGTTTTGTCCTTTAAAACTAAAGTAATGTTTTGTTGCTGTAATTATATACGTGTATGAAGGGATATATAAAAATGCAAATGTTGGTTATAATTATGCATATATAGGAAATGCTGAAAATGTTGAGATGCTAAAATTTTTTTTTTTTTCAGATGTATCTGGGTATATGATCTAGCCAATTTCATTCACACTTTTGTCTATGTTTTTATCACTTTTATTATTAAGTATCCCACATTGTGATAATAGAAGATCTGCTACACTTACATGTCACAAGTAGATTCTGCCACCATGTTGTATTGGCAGTAACTAGTCATCTCCAAGATATGAGTGATCTACTTCATCTATATGATAAAATCAATTTGCAAATAATAAATCAGGTAGAGAACACACAATATACTGTTCTTAGGTAGAAGTAGATCTCCATACATAAATAATTCCATAAACTTTTTTTTGAAATAGGTACTATATTCTCTAGATTTCACACACACATATATATATATATTACAGACTGCAATGAATAAATTGTCATCGAAATTACACAAAACTGAAAATAACACTGACATCTCATTTTAACATATATTTACCAAAATTACACAAAAATATCTTTAAATACTAAAGAGTAAATTTATTCAATAAAATTGCCATTGACTTCAACCACAGGCTCCAGACAACTTTGGGATCTTCTGTAACTCTTTTGGACGGTGTCCTTGTTTAAGTTGGTGAATGATGCCATAATGCATGCCTTCGCTTTGCTGTTACAAGGAGTTTTGACTGTCTCTCACTCAACTGTGCCCCACACATAATAATCAAGGGGGTGGCAGTCTGTAACCCCTTGTGTTTTACTGGTATTACTGCCTTGCTTGGGGTGATTCCAATTAAAAAATAAATGTGCATTCATCAGTACCCATTTATTTTTTTTTATTTTTGTAGCACTATGAAGATAAATCTAACAAGGTCTGCTTGTATTACACAACTATCATATTTTATTTATCATTTTGGTACCCATATCAATCCCAAAATTGTCTAAGGCTGTCAAATATCTATTACAATCTTATCTGGTTTTGCTATTTTGTACCTGTTCAATTTCACTAGTGCTGATATAAAATCAAATTTTACAACTCTGGGTCCTTCCGTGTTTTTATGGATTAAGTTGAGTCATATGTATTTTCCGTTTTAGGTAACAAATTGTAATGATGGATGCATCATCCTAACTAACCATTCTTTAAATAATTTATAATAGATGATGAAAAATAGGTTACATATGATAATATGCTAGCATCCCAGAATATATTTTCTCCCATCTTTATCTAATAAGAGTTCAACTTCTTTCATTTCTCTTCCTACCTGCATATATGATTCTGTTATCTTTACTTTTTTTTTTTTTTTAAAAAAACATTTCACACCAAGCAA